AGGGGAGGGTTGAGAAATGCGCGTTGAAAAATTGAAATTTCTCATAGAACTCGGAAAACCGAATCACACAACTACCAACTAATTCTATCGAAGTGACTAAGTACAAAAAAATCCGAAAAAAGATCAAAAGAATGAGGGGGACAGAAAAAGTTTTGGAAAGAGCCGTTAGTGGTTAAGAAGTTTAAAATACCATACTAAATAATAATAAAAGAAAAGAGAGAACCGAACAAAAAAAATGGTCCCGTCAATCGCAGCACATCAGTTCGAACCCTGTAATTTATGCGTTCAATACGAATGGTAGAATGTCCTGTTTTTCTTTCATTTTTGTACACTACCACGATCCTACCACCATCATTGCATTGTACATACAGAAATATATATATGTATATATATACCTCCTAGTATAGTGCTTTGTGAATTTTTTCTATACCTGCTGCCTTGCAAGGCAGCCGCTCATTGTTGAAAATGAGCGAAAAACTTCACTACAGAAAAACGAGGACTGTACGTTAATTCAAGAAGATCATTTAAAGTCATCCTAAAAAAATATTTGAGGAAAGTTCATGTAATGATAAAAGTGCTAACTAAATTTAAAAATGGAGAGACGATCATTTGGTAATAGAATTTCCATGAAACATCCTGTGAATAAATGAGGATTCTGTCTCTCGTACTTTTCGCACTGTTACTGTACACGTAAGCGCTTAACATAATCTCTCTCCTCTCGCACAAAGTTATTTCGAACAGTCACGAGATGAGAAATTGGCAGGGCTCCAATTTTCATGTGCTCGATTTTTCAATGGCCGCTTCGCTCATCATCGTTATCACTCTCGGCAGTGTTACTACAGTTGCTCTATCGGTACTTTAAGTCCCGGTAAAGGGCATTTCTAACGGTATGAATTCTCGTGAAATGGCACGAGCCACCAAGGAAATGTAAAGGACATGTAAATTACGTTGCAAGTACGTCGTTAGCGAAAGCACACTGGAACACGCGGATTAACCTATCAATTCAGTCATTATTTTCTCAAAAAGTCAATGACTCCCTTGAATTCCGTGTTAGAGGTTCTCGACTGAATCCTCCCGACTTCTGGATACCGTTCCGGTAGAAACGACTGAGATGGCGCATGGTGCGCATTGTGAAGGAGCCTTTAAGTCAGGCATTCAGTATGCAGGTCTATTTCGAAGCTTTTGCCGTAACCCGATCCAGAACGTAGAAGGGATTAAAGTTCCCGACACAGAGAACGGTGAACTCGTTTTCAAGTGAGCGATTTTCGCATCTGGTACCGTCGAATGGAGGAAGCAGGATGAGAAAACGGGGTTTAAAGCAAAGGAGAAAAAGGAGAAAGGTGAAAGGGACGACGAAACCAAGAAGAGAAGTAGGGTGAGTAAACACAATAAGTGAGAAAATGAGAAGAACGGCATAGACAGCGGAAAGCAGAGTGGGAGTGAGAGAGGGAGAATAAAAAGTATGTGAAAGAAAGATAAAGAAATAAAGTGTATAGCTATAGACAGGAGATTCGAAGGCGTAAGCTCTACAGGCTGTACTCGTTTCTTCGTAAAACGTTTGTTGACGTAACCTTGCGTAAATACGTCTGGAGCATCTAGCCAACTGACAAACCCCTTTCGAACGTAACGCAACTTTTCTTTCTTTTTTCTCTTACATTTTCCTTTCTTTTCTCCTCGCGAACTCTCATTTAACTGTTGACCCTTTAATCTTACCGTAACGGAGCTATAGAATTATGCCGTTAATAATCCAAAATGGCCGACTTCAATCGATTAACGGACACATAATTACAATATAAGAATGTATTACGTAACAGTGCATAATTATGTACTTCATCATATATTGAAAAGTGTTGCTACCGTTCATAACTAAATTGTTATGCATCTCTTAGAGGAAGAGATTTAACGAAAGGCAAGCGGATTAGGATATCTATTTTATTTTATTTAACATGAGTATGAAGATTTATCTGATGGCACTAATTGCTTTCTAATTATAATTAAGCAGTGGGTACCCTCTTTGGTGCGGTGTCGATAACACAGCCAGTTCTAAAAGGAACCACGTGGATCTCTCTTTGTTGTCTCTCTTATTTTTCCTATCTCGTTTTTTCTCATTTCCTTCTTATTGTTACTCTCTTTGACCTTTTCCCTGTTTTCTTGGTCTGCTCCTTCTCCTTTCTCTCTCGCATCGTCCCTCTATCCCTTCAGCTTGTCATCCGTCCCATTGCTCGACGCAGCGTGGTCGACAAAACCCGAAATACCGAAAAAAAAACCAAAAAAAAAAACCAAAAAAAAACACGAGCGTCGATTTTCTCGCAGCGGGGTGTCCACGTCTCGACGGCGTCACGATGCTCGAAATAGCGAGCACACAGAGATACAACCGAAAGCCTCCAAGGGATGCATCGGCTGCTACCAGTAATTTTAGACACGGAGAACGGGACGCTCAGATATTTTTCTTCTTCAGCTTATTTCTCTTGAATTTTCATTTTTATATTACTTTTTATTCTCTTCGATTTTCTTTGAAATTGTTTCATTATTTGCTCTTGGTCCACGTCTCTTTTTCCTCGTGATTTTCTTCTTTAATACTTCATCGTTATCTCTGTTCCTCGTGCAAGCAACGTGCCAAGGTTAGTAATTTAAGAATTGATAGTTACGTCACATTACAGAGTGCTTGTTTTATTTGGAAGCAATGGAATTTCACGAATCGGTTTAGGATAACGTACTTATGTTTTTTCTTTCACTTCCAAGATCTTATCGCTTTTCTATTACTTTGCTTTATATCATCCTCTGGTATTGACTCTGTATCGAGTTGCATGAGTAAATTCATAATGGTAACAGGAAACGGATTTTGAAGTTTCGACGAGTTGTTTACGTGGTTTATCGAATGTTTGGTAAATTCTAAAAAACATTTTTAATCCATAGTAATTTATCTACGTTTTACAAACAAGTTATTTGTTTCGTACTACGTTTAAATTCATGAAAATTAATAATAGCGTATGGGTTGCCGTTCAGTTTTGTTGCTGCTTCTTGCATATTCTTCTACCGATAAATAATATTATCAGTCTGTTATTACGTCATATAATGTGGATGCAGTAATAAATGCTTTTCATATCGCCTCGAAGGTTTCGTATTATTAGAATCAAAGAAAATACTGATGCACAATGGTTTTATATGAAAGGTTGGAGTAAAGCCTCATTATTGAAAGAATAAAACATTTTTTTAATTAGAGAAATACAAATTTTAATAAAAAGGAGTCATAGCTCTTCTCGTCATCGATTCAAAACATTAATTTTGTTTTATTATCTGGTTATTCGAAATTTTGTAGTTTAGGTTAAAAGGTTTAAAAATTTTTTTTTCTATTTTATTGCTTCTGAAATAGAAGAAATCTTTATAAGAAAAGATTATATTAGAAATCGGTATAAAGTTAAATGGATATCCGGAGAGCGGTATCATGAACAGGAAAGCAGAAAGGGGAATTAAACAATACAGACTAAGAATAGGTAAGAAACAAACAGATCCATTTTCTAACGAACCCATTAAAGAAATTCACACAATCCGTAAAACATATCCGAATTTGGTAACACAGACCCATCAGGAGTAATCCCACATATTTCTGAGATTAGATTCGTTTAAAAACAAAAATAACAACTGCACCCTCTAAAGAGAGCATTCGAAAAAGGTCTCAGAAAAGAAAAATCTAAAAGCGTAACCGGAGCCAACGACCCTCTCGTATGCTTTTTAGCGTGAAACCCATAAACTGTAGTAACGCCTTCGTGCTACGAAAAAAAGAGACAAACACGATAATAAGTATCAATCAAATCAAAGTTAAAATCAAAGCATCGAAAACATTATCCAATTCCAACCTGTATCCTGCAAATGCAACACAAAAAAAAAGTTCAAACAATGTTCTCCCTAAAAAGGAATCATTGAAAAATCACTAACATATTGACTTGATATTCAGTGAGCAACGTCGATGAAAAAAGCTTATTAATTCTGGAGACTTGCTCAAGGACCGAACTGATCAAAGAAACGTTTACTAATTCACATTTAGAGATATTCGCAGTGAAAAAGTAATATCAAAGAGATAAAAATGAAATAATAAAATAGTAATAAACAAAAGACATAATCGTTGGTACTATCATGGCCAAGATGAAACCCTAAGACGGTCTTTCTACGGTACGTTCTAAGTTATCACTCGCGTTCGCATCCCAGGAATAGTCGCCATGTGGTGGCAGCCGTGGGACGCCTATTTTCGGGTAAAGACAAATTTGGAGCGAGTCGCTACCGCGAGTCCGAAGCACGGCATGCGCTAGTCTCTTCAAGTGTAAGCTTACATGCTGTGGCTAGAGTTAGAGAAGGGATGCTGATGCTGATGCCGATGCTGATGCTGATCATGATGGTGGCGGCGGTGGTGGTGGTGTTGGGTGTGACAAGAAGGCCAATGGGATGTGTGCGGCCATTTTTAGAGGGCTCGTTGAAGGAGCCGTACCCGACTTTGGCAGCATTCAGTTGGAGGCGGTCAGTCGAAGAGGAGGATTCGTAACAACCCTTATTCCTTAGAACGAAAACGTATTAGTATCGTCGCACGTATCCGCATCCGCATCATCAGCACCATCGGTATCATCGGTATCACCATAGATCGACGTCGCCAGTGTTCTCCACCAATTCTACGTGCATTGGATCCGATCATCATCGCACCGACATGCCGGTGCTTAAAAATCTTTTTCCGAAGACGAGGGGAAATCTGTAGAATGGCAACATCGCCTGTCTCTGTGGAAGCCATATTAATTCTTTCTCTGTTTTCTTTCGTCTTGTTCTGTTTCATCTGGTTACGGCTCTTCGAAATCAATGTTTTTTTTGCTTTTTTTTCCAATCGAGACCGGGGTCACTGTTCCGTGCTTCCTTACTTCCCATAGTAAATGCGACGTATGGAATGTAAAGAAGTATGGAGCCGCGCCCAGGCTTACCAACGGCTACGAAGAAGCTTGAAAAGGAAAATGCAGAAAAAGTGCTATATACTCGATATTTGAAATGTATGCAGGTGCATGGACGTGCACATGTACAAATACCGGAGTAGTGTTCGAGTTTCGAAAGGGAGCAAATGACGTCTGCAGTAAAGTGGGAGACGAATAATTATGATATTTTGTAAAAGAGGGAAAAAAATTAAGAAACAAGTGTACAAGTGTAAGTCCTTAAAAGTACGCGACATTATATATCCAGTAACGAGGTACCGAAAAGGTCCAATTAATTCAAGAGGAGAAGAAGACCATCTTTTCGCAACATTCGAGGAAATAAGATATCGCATTCTTATTGAACAGGTGAAGATATTCATAACGAAGAAAGTGTTTTATATCTCATTACGTCTTTTTTTTTTTTTTTTTTTAATGGCTTCATGCTGAAAATAGAACGATTCTACGTACGTCCCTGGCGTCGTGGTGCGATCTATTTCGGCTCGTAAGCCTGGCAAGCGGGTGCGTAAAAGAAGAAAAAGAGAAAGAAGAAGAAGAAGTAGAAGAAGAAGAAGAAGAAGAAGAAATTACATGGCAAAGTCAAAAATAGCACGTGTCGGTCGGCGCCATATTTCCAGAAATAAGTTCTCCGGTTACAGCAGCACCGAGAGTGAAGGTGGGGATGCCGGAACTGGCAGAGGGGAAATGTATTTCGAGTTTCAATTTATTTTTCATATCGCCAAGACCTAGGTGAAACTACAAAATCATAGTGTACGGTATGATTCAAAATACCGATGTAAAAAAATATAACGAGAATCTGCAGGTACAGAAAACTGATAGGAACATTTTCATAAAAGTGGGGATAAGGCTCAAGCGGTGGGGATGGAAGCCTATTTCAGTCTCAAACACTGGACCAGTCTTCATCAGTCTGCCGCATATCAGCCTACCGGTCGCTTCACATTCGGCATTAGTATAACATTAGGTATACAACAGGGACGCGGCTGGAATTTTGCAGGGCCGTAACATTTTCTACTCTGGTACTCCGAGTATGGAAGCCCGGTAGATCATGGAGTACGGGATAAAACTCCGCTAAACACTCGATTTATGAGGCTGAGACAGCGAAGCCAGCATGAGCCCAGGCGATTCTGATAAATAATGGCCTCGCGCGACTATGCAACGTTACGTGGATACGCTAACGCCATGACATCTACATATGTATATATATATATTCTATGTGTGTTCTATGTGCTTGGCAACGAGAATGGGCTAAAATGTTGCGTCTACATATACGCGGATACACTTACTGCGTTACATAGCCACGTACAGGGCTGTACACCAGGGTAGACTAGTGTCCAATTGTATTCAGAATAGTTCGTGGGCACACACGCAGATATCACCGCGGAATAGATTGGGACACATAGGTACCCGCGGATTTGCATTGTTGTCATCGCCATTCGAATAGTACGCGTCAACGATCGCAGAGTATCTATTGTCGCGAGTAATTCTCGCGGAATCCCGTCGAAACCTTATAACTTTTACTGTCCAATTTTATCGTTCGTCAATGCACGAACAGCGATTCACACGTTTCTCTGTCCGCCATTGAGTGCGCAGAGTAGTCGAGTTGAGTAGAGACTAAACTAAATCGCAGGACAATATCGGCATATTGGACTGAAGTAGATAATAGCCGATAGTAACCGATCGTTATCGACCATTCCCGATCATTCTGTTGGATAGATATGACCACTCCTGGATATTACTTTGATGGTTACTATATGCATTTTTAGAGATTTCTATAATGGCTATCAGGACAAAATATATTCTGGTTAGAAAATAGATTCGTGTTTTGCACCGTTTTCACACAGTTTCACGCTCGGTATACGCGAGCGTTCGGGTATGAAATTTCAAGAGAGGGAGAGACAGAGAGAGAGAGAGAGAGAGGGAGAGAGACTGGTTGTAGTTATACAGTAGGAAGAAAACGAAAAAGAGATGGAAAAAAGGGAAAATAATTCATCATGTTCAGGATAGCCCGGGGATCGACGAAGGGCTTTCGTAATTGCTTAAGTTTTCCTCTTTTCGTAGTTATTATACGGCTCGAGTACTTTTCGATTACGAAACATAGATTTTTAGCAGTTTCCACTCGGTTCCAATCACTGGGAACTTTAAACTGTTCCACGAGGGAACTCCGATCGTTTGAAATTCTGAGAAACTGCGGCTCATTGTGGGTCCGACCCTTTAAATTCTCTTGGTATAGTTAGGTATGTACATGGTTCATTTATGTTATACATATATTCATAGTACGTTTGTATATAAGGTCCACTCGAACGTGTTTCTCTAATTCGCTTGATTAAGCTAAATAAATTACACTGATATAATTTCCCTAAAATAATAATATTAGCTACGGTATTGTTGGCTAATATCGTCATTTGCATTGATGTCATTGTTAATTGACGTGGCTCTGAAATTTGGTCGTTCTATTTATTTCTATTCTCAGCTTCATTTCTCTTACTGACTTTGGGAATGTTTACAAGAAATACTATGCGTAAGGTAATATTCAACGTGACTGCTTTAGCGCGTTCGCCAGAGTTAATTTTCAAAACTGAGTATTGTATCTTGCTGTTATAAAGTATACACAAATTTAAATCCTGTTTCCCTCTTTGTCAGTGTCATACATCTCTCTGCATCCTTAATTTCAAAATAGGTCTCCCAAGGCCTGTCCCAGTTGGAAACACCCTACAATAAATTAAGGGAATATCGTACTATGCATATACCATATATATGCACTGCGCGTAGTAAACGAATATACCTTCGTTACAAGAATTTTCAGCATTTTAACTATGTAAATTATATATCGATAGTTCATTAACGTTTGAGCGAAGTTGATTTAAATAATTAAGTGGATTAATTGAAACGAAATTTTCTTTATTTTATTTCCCTTCATTACCCGCTCTGCTGGCATTGATCGTCAGCGCCACTCGAATTGCAGTGTTCGCTAGGAGCTAACGTTAGTTAGGTAATTTCAGTAAACAGTTCCTACGGGCTGCTCCAGATGGCGTTAGTGCACTTTTCTTACTATTAGTCCACTGCGAGGGAAGATAGAAATGGCCAAGGGAAATTATCATCTGACTGTACTTATTTACATAGAAATACGTACGTTTGTACTATAGCTATATGTAAGTATATGCATATAGTATAATTCACGGCAAACGCAAGCGCTGAAGTTGGACGCGATTGAACAATTCTGTTAATCGAGGCAGCGTGGCCTTGTTAAACAAATGAAGGAATGTGAAATTCATGATAAAAACAGTTTTACGATGTTAACCTTCATTTCTTTAATGATGCCAGCCTGCTCCGATTCATGAAATTCACGGCCAATTTCAGTTGGTGCATTTGCCGCGAATAATCCTTTATATACAGTGTCCATATTACACAATGGTGACTTCCCATTTTCCTCGAGTATGTAGTGTATAACGGATCGGACACTTGCAACACGATGTATGTAAACGCATCTGTAGCGATGCACACAAAGGTAAGTACTCGGTGCTCGACTAATAACGTTGCCGAATGTCAATTCCTTCTGTATAGACGGACGATTGAGCATGATTCACACTCAGATGATAATAATTATTGTTTCCATAGGCACATTATACACCTGGAATGACCTGTACACGTCACACCTGGACAGACTAGTACATACACCCGTCACATTCGCATGATAATAATTATCGTTTCCATATGTACATAACATACCTGGGAGGACTCGTACACATATGGAAGGTCATCTGTAACATCTATACCGGTGACTACAATCAATCGTTATTCACTAATTACTCCCAATTACCACAATGGCGACGGTTGCTCCGCTGTTCCATGAGCAGTGCTACGTGTGAGAATTAGTGTCCGGTTGGATGAAAACTTGAAATGGTCGAACAAAAAATATCACTCGTTTATAAATACAAGTTTTCTTGACAACCTGACTAATCGATTGAGTTTGAACGATTAATGGTTAGACACGCAAGCGGACATTATTTAAACAGTACGTGCAATTATACTTATGATCATAATAAGGACAGTTCTTCTTAGTAGTCCTTCAAATATTTTTCAGTCGTTCCTCGTATTATCGAACACCCCATAGAATTTTATGATAGTTCCAAAGTGCATCTGATGCACGCGATGCAATTTCTATCGTAATCCCTTTTTCCTCAGGGTCATTAAAATAGTAAAATACTTTAGTGTTGTTTTTTCTACTTCTTGTTCTCTCTCCCCTTTTCACTCTTTGTTTTTTATTATCATCGAGTTTTCACTAATTGAACCAGTTTTCGAGATAAGAGTGTACCCCACTAGCATCGCTACTACCACCATCAGCAGCCAGTCCAAAGGCTTCCATCCTACTGCACTATCTTGGTCGTCCTCCTTCTCCTCTCAGGGCCGTACTACTCGGCTGCAACTGCCCGCTATTCCAATCATCATAAATTGCTGAGGCGAACGTGACAATTGTACAGAGGAACCAATGAATGCAGTGTCATTCGCTGCTTCTGCACATGCAAGCTATTCTCCCTGACGTAAGAGAGATAGACTGACGGAGGACGAGGGTGGAAAATCAAAGGTTGAAAATTCCGCAGCAGTGAAATTGTTGCCGATTTGTCGATTCATTTGATTTCTGTTCCGTTCCGTGTGCTTGCTTGTCGACCCGTCTGTCTGCCTGTCTGTCCGTCTGTCTATCAGCAACTGGAAATATATATACCCTGACCCTTCCGTTAAATGGATTAAATAATATCGAACTGTGTCAAACGTTTGACATGGAAATAGTTGCATCTCGCTCGCTGCACACCGCACGATGTATATTTCATGTTTCTCGGTCCAGCAACCTTCCTTCTTTTTCTGTCATTCCACCCTTCCCGTTCATGAAACCATTTCGTGAAAAACACTTGCACGTGTCGTGTAGCTGCCTCTGGAACCAATCCGCACCATATCGTGGATCTGCAGTTTTGCAAAATATGTGTTCATATTTAAATTTTTTACGGACGTTCGATTTTGAAAATTTTATTTTTTGAACACATGACATTATCTACAGGCATAATTTTGTGTAGATATTATCCATTGTATACATATTGTATAGATATATCTAGACAAAATGCGCATAGATAGTGCAATGGTTTGATAAGGTAAAATTTTCGAAAATGAATGTCTGAAAGAAATTTAGGTATGAAGATAGATCTTGCAAAGCTATAGATTTGAGATATGGTGAAAATATGAATTTTATGAGTCGAAGGCTTTTTTGGCGCAATAATATGAACCTAAAAGATGTATACCGTGAAGTAGGCAGCATGATAATTTTCTAAACAGTCAATATGCGGTTTTAAGTACAGTAAATTTATTTTAAATAAGTTTAGCTTATTCATTTTAAATAAGTTTATGACTAGTCAAGATAATATTGTCATTGAGGTTTGGCAGGCAAAATTATTAAGTTATTAAAAATATGCGCCACAATGTGAATTCCATTACTAAATGATTAATGTTAATTATAAATTATTGTTTTTTTTTTGTGAAATCATGTTACTATGTGGGTTATAGATTATTTTCTTCAATAATAAAAAGCAACGTCATATTTTTGACAGTTTTAACCACGACATTGGAGTTTAACAAGAGCATATCAAGTTTTCACCCATAAATTGATTTTCAATATTAATTCCTTTAACTTCAAAGGCAGTTCAAAATTGTTCTTATTTTCGTATCAGCATTGACGTTATCCGTTTAATGTTAGATTATTTTTTTTTTTCATCTTCTTTGTCTGTTTCAGACGGATTATTTATAAAACCCAGTATATGCCATGCCTCGTGAATGCCAGATTGCTTATCGGCCTGGGGCATTTAGCTAATATTACGGTTTAAGCATCGTCATAACTGCATTAATAATTTAATTTAATGAAATAGTCATATATTTAAAATCTAAGAATTCTCTTTCTTATTTTTTTTTGTAATATTAAGTAATAAAATATGTCTATTTTTAAACTGTTAATATCAGTTTAATATTTCAGCACAAACAAATGATGTGGCTACCTACTGTAAAAACGTGGGATTATAAAGTTCGGTTAATGAAAATTTAAAGTTCTCAGACTATACATTATGAGGTGTAGAGAAATGTTTCCATTAAAAATTGGACTTTCGTGGAAGGCATGTTATATTACTTTTTATTATATTCAACTAGAAAGTCCGGATAGGAGTGACTAATTTTTTTCTTGAAAATGTTAATTTTGAAATAAAAATGTATATATACCTTTTAAAAATTTTATATCAAATAAAAATGTTTTTCAAAGAAACTAGTATATTTTATATACAACGGTATTTTTACGAATTATTTGCCCGATTAAAATTTAAAAAAATGTTATGACGGCATTGTACGAGTTTTTTTCCAGTAAAATCTAGGTCACATTTAGACTCAAATAAAACAATTATTTGAAATATAAGTAAATTTCATAACATTGTTAAAAATCTGCAATTCCTTACGCATACCACATTATCGTGATTCTTACACATGTATTTCGTATCATTTTTCTAGCGGATGTTTCTTTAGTTTTCCTTATAGTTTTTTTTATATCCAATCCACTCACTAGATGGAATTGAGTAAGTTGATAAATCGATCTCGACCGTCTGTTATGGTTACGTCATAACGAAACATTTTTATGCTCGAGCATTACTCAGACGTGCCAAACGCGTATCATAGCATCACCACATAATATTTTTAACTTCTCTATACATTTATCCGGTCACAGATTTTTACTGTGTTATTCATTAAGACACGTTATAATTTTAACAAAATATACTACGACTGTCAGCCTACTATTGACGCAATCGAATCAAGAGGATATATCGAATTTACCTAGAACTCGAAATTTCGTAAACTCACCTTCACTGAAAATGTACGTAAACACGAATCACTTGCACGTGGAACATTGTTCGAGATTGTACCAATTAAATCCTGCAGAGCCATTAATTGCGTGAACGTTCTGCCCTGTCAATGTTCGTGGGAGTTTCGGACCGTCATTTGCCTGGCGAATAGAGTCCATACATGTCTAGTGTTACCGAAGTGCAGAAAGGTATACATATACAAAATATACAGGTAAACAATGATAACCGAACTGAGTAAACATAAAATCTATTACACAACCATATAACGTACCTTGGTGAACAGTGTTGCTAACATGAAGTAGATGGATGAGTCGTGAAAGCAAGAAGAGAATAAGAATTTGAAAAAGCGACAAAATTAAAATAAATAAAGTTGGAGTGGAAAAATCATCGCCATAGGCGAAAAATACGATTTATCTTTTGTGCAATATGCAGAATGAAGTTGGCAAGTGCATTTGACAGTATGCGAAGGGGAATTTTTCTAATGGAGTTATAATCGTTGAGCTGCATTTTTTTGTAGAGCTCAACGAAACTGGAAGTTTTTTTTTTTTTTTTCTAACTTTGATCTAGCCTTTTTCTTTGATAAAATATATATTCATAGCGAAAAGTGTATATTATTTTCATACATATTTTTGTGAACGAATCGTCTCAGAAGGTGGAAATTGCAATTTCACTATATTCGCTTTTATTCCTCAATCGGATTGTACCATACAGTATATATCGGAAAGTGCTGTGAAGAAACCTCCTCCCCCCACCCCTCTAAATAAATACAGCCACGTACAGTGCTGTGCAAAAATAGGGTGTCGTTTAACTTGTAACTTATATGCCTTACAATACAAGAATCTGTCCAGCGTTTTTGCTCCGTTTTCTATTTATATATTATATGTACATTTACACGACTTGTATGAGAATCCACAATCGCATGTATAAGCATACTGTACTGGAAGTCGTTTATTTCATGCATCGAATTCCACTGTATACTGACACAACAAATAGAAGTTGTACCATATATCGTTTAGGGGTATGATAATATTCCAAAGCATACAGAATCTCGAGAGTATATCGAATATTTCATGATGGGGAATACCCGTTGGATAGAGTCGTGGGTACACGATAGGGTTTCAAAAAAAATTTATGAAAATTTCTCATTTCTGATAATCGTAAACACTGATAACAGGCAAAGATATGATTCGGAATGCTCTTAGAGTAATTCAGAGTAAAACGAACCGAGGATCAAGGCGAATATGATGCAGAAAGAATTTTTTTTTTTTTTTCAAAATCACGTTTTGTGGATTTATAAAGAGCGTTGATGGTTTTGTAAATGAAGCTACCTACATACTTTTGCTTAATATTTATTTTTAATTCCAAAGTATATTGGTATTTTATTTACGAATTTTCAAAATATCGCTTATAAGTTTTCAAAACTTAATTTATTTGATTGAGGGGATATATGCTTCGAATGTATTCAAAAAAATAATTATTTTATTATTGACTATTGTCTATGGATTTACTGAATCTTTCGAAAAAAACGAAATTTTGAGATATTTAAAAATTGACGAAAATATTCCGGTTAGTTAGTCAACCCCGGCGCTTTAACTATAATAATTCAGCTTCCCCTTTGCTAAATATTATATTTTGGGACAACTGCATTATTGCGCGCTTCTCTATTTAGAAATATTTACTACTGGGTATCCCTTATACTGCGTAGAAGGATGGTCCACGGTATAGAGCTTGAATAGCAAATTAAGTGTAAATTGACCAAAAAACAAAATATTCGTTAGATTTTTACGTTGGAAATTTTAAACGCCTTTTTCATCAGCGTCTCCACGATAACTCGGCAAGATTTCAATATTTTTTCATTCCCTTTTTGTTTGTATAAATAAAAAAGGTGAAAAATTGTAAGACTATTTTCGATTTTTTTTTAAAGTTGCGCAATTTTCTTAATTTCTGGAAATTTGAACCACTCGCCCTTTCTCTCTTGCAATATATTATAATTACTACGTTACTTAATAAGACAATATTTGAAATTTTAAGATCCGACTTCCCTACAGCGAAAAACCCCGTAGACGGTACAGTTATGCGTGCACTACAGAAGAAATTTCGAGATGTGATTACGAAGCATGTTTTTAATAAAATTATAAACTCTTGAATTGACAATTATTACAATATATGCACAATAAAATAATATAAAAGTTGCATTTATTAACACTTTATTTACCTTAGAAACACTTCCCGAAAGTAGGCTATTTCGAATGCGCCAGCGGCATGTAACCCCATGACTAACAAGGGATGTTTGTTAGGGCACGATTCTTAGTTTACTTAGTTAGGTTGGATAGCGTGACATGAGATAGTAATTTAAAAGAGAATAGGATTTGCTCAAACGTAACATACATTTCTAACAATGAATGAAACTAAAATGTCTTGTTTTTGCTGCGCGTATCTCCACCTTACGATCTTTTTTTTTTTACCTGATTACGTTCCTTCTCTCTTTCACACATATTCACACATTTGATTGGTTCTGTCGTTGGTCTTTGCTCATTTCTCAATCCCCAATAGAATTTAATTAAATCATTTAAAGTTACAAGTTACAGGTAATTAGGGGGGTTTCGTAGGGGATACTTTACTCATATATGTTATATATGAATACCTACAAATAAGGGAGGGCGCCCGACTACTACATTAAACATTGATGTCCTGTAACTATTCACACGTTCCATGTATTCGAATAGTTATTAAGTATCGAAGTGATTACCTCATAGTTGTAAGGTAAAGGAAAAGAACAAATACTTGCATCTATTTTTTTAATTTATTTAAATTATATTTTCTTTATTTTTAATTCATTACGTCTTTTCGCAGTCGCATTTTTAATTCTTTTAATTCATATTTTATTTCTTTCTGCTTAGTACAAGGCTTGTGAAATTGTTAGATAGTCATATGATTTAACTTAAACAAATTTTGAGGACTCCTTAGACGTCCTGATCCCCCGCGTCCAACTTTATACCCCTTCTTGGCCTGTCCACAGTTCGACACACGAATCTTGACACGCGTTCGAAAAATGTTGCTCTCCTGCGCCCCTAGTGGCTACAGGGGTAAACTAATCTAGCTACGAATAGATGTGAATCTTACATTCTTAGTCAAAATCCGCCCCATCCCCCTCAACCTCAATACCCTAACCACAAGAGAAAAGTACGTTATAGAGCTAATATTAATTGAAAAAATCTATTTTTCATAACTCGGGAAAAAATGCTCGAACAAAAATTTGATAAGGATCATGTTCACTGTTCGAAACCATTAAACTTATGTCTTTAATATTTTTTCGAATCTTCACAACTAAAAGATATATTCAGTTGTTCGCTTTCGAGCGATCCACCCTGTATAGGGTAAAAATCCCATATAGATGTACAGCAGCGAGCACGTAACGCTCCTATATCCTATCTCACGATACGTACTACTTATGTGCATACATAGGTATACTGAGAAACACGTCGAACGTAGTATAGATACAGCGGGCCCATCCAATTTTCGCCATTTTCAATGGAGCCTTCGTTGCTCACTTGATAAATCCATCTATCCGGTAGTAATACATATCCGCTTACGAAGTTTCTACACGTAAGCGAAACGTCAGCGTTTCCAGTTGCGTCTGTAGAACCAGTTTGTCTGTCCTCAATAACTCCGTACCCTATCCATATCAATACCATAGAGACAACTCGAATACAGAAGAGAGTATAGAATGTATCAAAGCGCTCCTACCATAGTCTTATACACAATCTTATAGGATTATTTTCTTGATCTGTGCTCACTCTGTGCTGTCTGCTTAGATACTGTTATGTCCCCTTACATAAGACTCCGATATATTATCGGTGTGACACTCACGTGGTTCGGGGACTCCCCCGCGAGAGTGTACAAATAGGATTGGTCAATCGCAGCACGTGGTGTCTAGAGTAGGGATAAAAATGGTGTAGTGGGAGAGAGAAAGCGAAGAGTAGGGATTGTCAGGTGATGAAGAAGCTAAGGAGTGGGGATGGACTTGGTTGCATTTGAACAGTGGTTAGGTAGAGAGCGTAGGCAACTCACGATGCACCGTTTCGACGTCGATTGAAACGAAGGTGTCGAGTGCATCTTCGTGCATGACGGGAATGGCCGACATTGCCTCAGGGGAAGCAGGGAGGGGAAATCGTGAAAGAGGATAGTCCAAGAATTGTAAATACGTGGGTACGAGAAGATGGTCATGAGGGAAGCGAGAGAAAGATGGTGAGAATGAGGATGGGGTTAAACTAGCAGAGGAAACGGAAAGGGGGAGACGTCGGCGAAGCGTTTGAAGTTTTCGAATAAGACAAAAGCCAGAGCCGTATTCGCATCACGGTCACGCGCACCCTTACCCCGGATCCCCCAACTTCCGCTACTACTTTCACCACTACTACTCTTGCTGCGGCCACCGTTACTAGTACTTTTGGGATTATACGTACACAGTATATACCTAGATGGGGCTACGGTCCAACTTCTCTTGGCTAATCAGAAAAATCCACACTCTACTGAGCTTATTGAATTGTCCCTGGATTGTGACGATGCCTTTACTTCAGTGCTAGCCCACTGTCTCTTTGGCGCCCTGTCTACGTTTCTTCTATCAGCTTTTTTTTTCATTCCTCTTTTTTATCCAGCTACCACCCAGCCTCCCATCGGTCCCTTCTTTATCTTTTTGCAAGAGAACAATTCTGCTCTTCGGACGGTACTCTACGGATTGGTACGGGTGGACGAATGGGAATAAATGGAAGGTGAAGATCGTGATCGAATTCATACCCAGGGCCAAATTCCACCGTAGAGTCGTGTCGGGGTCCGTCCTCGTTCTTGTGTCTCTTGGTAACTTCGAGACGACCCCTGACCCCCACCAACGTTAACCCCCTTCCATTGGGCAATCAGGCCACTACGCTTGAATTTGTTCCGGGGCGATAGTCGCTGTCTTGAGAATCTTTCGACGCTTATTTTCTTTTCTTTTTTCTACCTCGTGTGATAGTTCGTTAAGTCGAGTCTCTAGTCCGGCTTCTTATGTATGTATACATATGTGTGTCCTTTTCTATAGGAAATTTCTATATTTACCGTGATCGTCTGGCTTGATATTTTTCTCACCAATCATTTTTCCCCCCTACTATTTGCCGTAACAACCTCTTCATGGTTCACAGATTTTATCCTATATCGAAGAAATAATATCAAAATGCAGCTTATCTTCGTGAATTCACTTCGAAAGTGCAAGAATCTGCAGATGTAACCACTAGATGTAACCACTGAAAGAGAAAATGATTGAGAGAGGCTGTGTGTGTGTGCGTGTGTGTCTGAGATATAGCATATGAATATATATATTGTGACGTGGCATTTTGATGCACGTCACAAAGTAGGCGAATTCGGCTACGTCGTGAGGTCTGATGGGTTCCGGAACGTTTCGCATGGCGTTGGACTGATTTTATCTTAAGAATTTGTAGTTATTTCCCTGTTGGAAATGTTTCTCTTGCTTTTGAGTTTGTTAAACGAATCCGAGAGGATTCAACAAAATTTTGATTGTGACGGGGCCCGAGAGAGCTAACTGCGGGCCTGGCGGACCGCTGCCGAGAGAGGTGATCAGACCACACAACACGGCTCGACTACACGAAGCAAGCGGAGAGCGTCTTCACGATCAAAAGACATACAGGGGTTGCAGAAGCGACACGGAGCCGAATATCGAGGGAGTAGAGGTGGATTCCTTCCGGAAAGAGCACTGCAGTCACCCCAACGTAAAAAGATGCCAGGATCTATTTCATCGGGATCGTCAAAACAATTGAAGATCGCGAGCTCGCTAGCGTAGCCGATGTAATAGTGAATCTTATAGGGCCAGGAGGTGGTATTACGGCGCTCCCATGGGAAGGTTCCCGATTTTTGAAGTTTGTAGCGTCGCTCACGGCGCTGAGCTAGGGCTCCGGGATAGACGTGCTATCGTTTTGGATCGTTTTACATTATTTATCGTATCGTGATCCGTTTGAGGGACCTATTACCTAGGAGAGTGTGTTTTCGTGAATATTATGAGTTACCGAACAACGATGAGTAACGCTCAGGGGTATTCTGGCTATTTCTTAATTCATGATATCAACCGATCTTTCCTGTTTGACATATTCTTACGCGTCACCCTACGCTTTCCTGATCTTTAGGGGTTCCGAGGATAGGTAATCTGGTTACAAACAGAGGATTGGTCTCTCACTTCCTTCTTTCTCTTCTTTCTGTTCTGCGTCTAATCGTTCAGTCTACGCCTCGCGGAATCGTCTTCCTAGCACACTGGTGTGTCAGTCATTATCGTATCGTTTGTTGAGTTGTTCCAGCGAGAATATTATTTTGTAATATCGTTCGGGTATTGTCAAATTGCGTTCTCTACCATTCCAAACTGTTTTTCATACCTATCACTTGTATTCATTATTATTGTTATTATTTTTATATTTAAAATAAATCATATCCGTTTCTGGATTTCGATTCCGATAGTTCGGTGTTGGATAAAATAATTTGATTAGTATTTTTTTGTGAACCTCCCCAGTTAATTATTTCAGCTTTTGGCATTCGTCCCCTAAACCCAGGACCCCACCGTCTAAGAGCTGGCGATAGTCAAATTTGAAGACAGTCAAGCGGTAGAGCTTGTTGTATATCCGTGTTGTATATCCGACGCCAAAAAATGTCGTAGATTTATCATTTTCTCTTCTTTTTTCCACTGGGTCTCCATTTATTTGGAAACGCAATTTCTCTGGAAATAGTGTCGTTACAAAGTATATATCATTATAAAGAAATTATAGAGCGAATAATTTCCGAAGAGAAAAGAAAAGTGGATGTAGTACGAAACGATTGAATGTGATTCGACAAAAATTCGTTATTATGATTCATTCAATGTGCGAATTCCTTTGTTCGTAAGTGAAAATGCCGTGTTGCCACAAGCGGGAACAATTATCCAGCAATTCGGGATTTGGTGCTGCAATTTTCACCGGATGTAAAGTGAAACGTTGCTGATACCGAATACTATCCTGCATCCTTCTGTCGATTCTGGGTCCTGTCAACCCTCTCTCCATAACAGTCATTACTAATTTAATTAATGCTCGTTAACCCGGAACAATCGATTCGACATTAGTGACACGTCAAGGGCGGCGGATGAGGGAGGGGGGTGAAGGGGGGGGGGATTGCAACTCTTCTCAGCAGTGATGCGTACCAGTTACGTTTACGCAGGTCAAAATTGACAAATGCATTGCAAACTGCATGGTGGGTGGGAACAATAGAGGTAAGGGGTGTGTAGTGAAATATTAATTTGACAATTAAATGTACTGTCAATATCGTGTGGTTATGCATGACACATGCAGAGTTGAGAAGTAATCTGGAAGGACACTGTAAGCGGTTGGGATTCGGGGTGGAGATATCAGTTATTCCTTGGGCTTTCACAAAGGAATAGGAATCCTTTTTAATACATCTCTCAAGAATATTCGCTGAGTTTTGCACTGCTGCCAGTAATGTAAGCAGGACGTTGAGGAACTGCCGGCGACCTGCATAAGGGACTAGATACTTGGAGGGTGGGGTTCGGGTGGTTCGGGTGGTTGGGTGAATATGGCGCGAGGGATGAAATGGGGTTGGGGGTAAAAAGGGATAGCACCCCCGGAACGGCAAGAAGTCCTTGGCTTCCGGCCATCTAATATTCCTTGGTGCTTTTTGGTACCGAAAAAGGACTATTGTCGACTTGACACCACTTGGAGGGTAGTTTCTATATTTTCGGAAAAGACACCCCTTCTGTCTGTCTTTCACACTGGACAAAAATGCATAAAACATAAATCGCGTTACATCGAAAACGTAACACGCAAACTTATTGTCTGTCAATCGCAATGGTTGATCTATTGTAGAATATCATGAGTCGTTAAATTAAAGGATCCGAGGGTTGTTCAGAGATTCTTTAAGCATCGAAAGGGATGAAACGAGGAGGTCTCGTGGTTTGAGCAGAAGAAGAAGAAGAATTAAATTATTGCAAAGATTAGTTTTTCTATCATCGAAGGGGGCGTTTTTGGCCCGGGACTCGAGGAGCTAGGCGATATGCGTGTCACGTATGGGGGTGGCAGCCCCTGTGCGCCATACTGGCAGCTACCCTTCTCGCGTGAGGGTAGGTGGCTCTGCGCGGGGCTGGGAATTCACGTGTGTCCGGGGGATGGGGATGGGTCTGGCTTTGAGGATAGGAAAGGGGTGGGTTGGCATTGCGTGAACTGCATAAAGAAACTACCCCTATCCCGATAAACACTGTCAATACCGCCCATTGGAGGTTTGCGAGGACCCTTGAGAAGGAGAAATTCGTTTTTTTTTCTTTTCTTAAAGGTTAGATTCACGTAAGGGGCCCGAAAAGTATATTTGGATTTGGTAAAGTCTCTTTCACTCGAAACCGCAATGAATTACTTTGTTTTATATTTTCCAATATATCCCCGTTTTTTTTTTCTTCGTTATCCTCGGCTCAGGGGTCTTCTTCATCTTCTTCCACCCCTTTCTTCATCATGACATTTTTTTCTCTCTCTCTCTCGCTCTGTTTGTCCTACCTTATTACCATAGCAATGGCGGCAAATCAAATTGAATAAAAATTTATGTATCAGGAAGGGCAATAAAACGGAATAGATTTGGGGCAGAATGGGGCCGAATCCATCAAGCGGGATTCCGATAAAGGAGGATCGTTGGGACCGGGACGTCCTGGACGATCGGGATAGCGAGATACCCATCCCGTAGGAAGGGATCTTTTCCTTGTATCCTGCACGATTGGAACGGGATTGTCAAATTGTTGCCCGGAAATTTATTCCACGGAACATCTACC